AAGTACAAACCTGTCGGCAAGGAACATGGTTATATTTATTCCTCATCTGATCATACCTTAGAGAAAAAGATTTTCAGTCGCAACCTCCTTTTTGCTTGGAAGACAGATTTTGGTGGATCGCTGAAAGTTTGCAAGCACATTTTTGCTGATTGTGTAATTTAAAATATGTTCCTGAAATTACGAATTTGTTCATAGTTAAAATTATTTGTTGATAATTTTATATATTTACAATATTATTTTGTTAGTTATTTATAAATTATTTGGTTTTGTTCTTTACATTATTTTGTTCTAAGAATGCCTAATTTTGTTTTCCTTTTTTCAGAGTAGCTGTGTAAATGGAAGATACATATACGAGAGGTGCGAAATTAAGAAGTTTCAGAAACACTGCGTTAGATTACACTTTACCATTTAGGTTACATGCGTGTCTTTGATGCATGTTATAACTTAGATCATACATTTTCACTGGAATATGAAGAGAGCTTGTGATGCATGTTCAGTAAAAAGAGTCTGAAAAGCATTTGACTAATATAATATTGTTGCGTGCGCACGGGTTCGTTATGAATTGAATGCACAAGTCCGATGAAAAAAAAATGAATCAACATTTATTATTGTCAGCACAAATAAAACAAAGAAAGTTGTACAATATCTCACAGTAGATATTTTACGTAGTATCACAGTAGTTATCTACTCAAACGTTCAAAAGAACTTAATTCAAAGCAGCTAGAGAAAGCTAATCTGCGAATTCGCTACAGTCAACAAGAGCAGTTTTCTAAACAAACTCTTAAAACAACAACTAACTAAATAACGAATTGAGAAGTTTTCGTCCTTTTTATAAGCTTTTTAAAATCACGCGAGAGATTGTTCTAGCAATTCCTCGAAATTAAAAAGAGATTTATTTTTTAAATGTTAAATGTACGTGCTCTTGTATTTTTAATTTTCCGGCTTAGCTTTCTTTTAATATTCGTCACGCGTTGCACTGCACGGGGAATAAAACAATTTTATTTATAATTCTACTAACATGAACTATTTAAATACCAAATCCGTAACAACATGTTGAATTTCAATTTAAGACATTAAAATTAACGTTAAAATATTTCAGAAACCTAAATACAAATTTTACATCAAGCAAATGAAACGTTTCCTCCTATGATTATTTTATATTAAAAATATCGGAAATTTTATAATATTGTATCATAATTTATCATATTTTATAAATTTTAGAAGTTAATGCTATATTTAATTCATCATTAATAATTTTATATTGATTCCTTTTGCATAATCCTAGATGTTAAGTATCATTGCATCAGCTAGCAATATAAGATCTAATAAGCTAAAAGTGAGATGTTTTTCAAAATTTTTGCTATGTTTCGGGTGCATAAAATTCAGTTCTGACATAATGTGTGTCATTTTATATTCACGAAGAAGCATCTTAAATGCCATAATGAAAATAACTTATTTATAAAATATTATAATGTGATATGAATAATAAATGTTTCATATATGCATATATATTTTTTGTCCTGTTTTAGTACGTCACACCTTTCTTTGAATATGCTCAAAACAGCTGCCGATTTAATTTCTTTGTTGCGGCTAAGATTATTCATTTTCATTTTGTCACAGGTTTTTTACTGTATTTTATTGAAATTCTCGAGTGAAATGTCTCTGGGAATATCGATTTCTAAAAAAAGTAAAGATTTTACCACTACGAAAATTCGAAATTACACTTTCAAATTCCAATGTAATATTTCCCAATTCCTGAAACTTTAGGCTAGGTGTATCACCTGAGAAATATGCTTCGACATAATTCATTCTTTTATTACGGAGAATCAAAGATGACAACGTATGTTCAATTTTTAGAAGTACGAGACTTAAAACTGGAGAGAATGTTTGGTTGAAATCCTCTATTTTGACTCTGTAAGCTCAAGCCTTTTCGAACTTAATGGATAACAATGTGTAAGGTTTATACTAAGTTTTTAACAGTTATCTTTAGTTACTTTCCTGTCTCTCTTAATTTCAGCTCCTAATTTCCTGCCAGAGTGTGTTTTTAGAATCGCGGTTAATGTAAATGAGGATATAAGTCGAAGTTTCACTAACTTCGTTAGAGAGTCAGAGATTCTGACTAGTGCGCGTTTGCCACTTGACTGCACTCTCTCTAAGCTATTACTACTGTCTGTCTACGAGAAGAACAGCCCGCCACAGGGTCTAGCGGGTGGCGGTCACTATAGCAACAGGGCTAGTATATTCCAAATAGGGGTGAACCAAGGAATGCTTTATTGTTATGTTGTTTTTGGCGACTTTTGGCTGAGGGGAAAACAGTTTATCATTCGTCTTCGAGACATCCCTACGGAAAATGGGTCCAGGCTCATTTCTACGGCAACAGACAGCTGCAGACTAACTGGCGAGAGCTTTTCTTATGATAGACAGACTGTATGCTAGGCCGTATTTCAAGCCCTTGAGCTTCGCCACTTAGTTAACATTTTGAAGCCAACTCCTTAGAATTTTGATACCTTGGGCTATATCTTTTGAGTTAAGCATTAGTTAAGTTTGATTTCTCAATACTTTTGAGTTCAAGCCCAAGTGGAGGCTTTGCTGTAAGCTCTAAGACAGGAACCGACTATAGATACTTATTTTGAGAAATAAAGTGTATTTAACCCTTCTAGAGTTAACGTTTCCGTTTCCTGAGCTAAAGCGATTATTCGCTTACCAGTTCTCGGGGTACCACACACTTAGCTGTAAGAGAAAAGGTTGGAACACCATAAATGTATGAAATGTTTGGAGGTAGTGGTGATAATAGATATTAATCTTGAAAATTATCTCGAATCAAATTCATCAAAAAATTTTAATAATTTCTGTATTCATAGCAGCAGCTCTCAGCTACTTGTAATCTTCAGTTGACGGACAAATCACTCTCTTCATTTTGAGTAAGATCGGTTTTACAGTCCTGAACTCTATGTGACTGGCTGTATGTAGAAGGAGAGGGGAAAACAAAAAACAAAACAAAACGAAACAAAACAAAACAAAACAAAAAAAAAAAAAAAAAAACAAAAAAAAAAAAAAAAAAAAAAAAAAAAAAAACAAAAAAAAAACAAAAAAACAAAAACAAAAAAAAAAAAAACTTTTTTTTCAAGCAAACTAATTTTCTAACAACTTCTTTTTTGTATGTTGTTTTTTCTATTTTTATTATTTGCTTCGCTTTTGCGGCTGCTGCTTGTAAAACAGTTTGTCTGCCATTTTATGGAAACGCGTATTATGGATTTTAAATTTTTGCTTAGATTTTATGATGTTGCTGATATATTATTTCTTTGGATATATCTCACTATATTTGGCAGATAACCAGTTATAGGCCCCTGGCAAAATGTAAAGACAGCAAGCCTCCATTCATGTATACAGGGTGATCCTAATTTTTTTTTTACAAATTGCGAGTTACTCGGCTCAGTGAGCTCAGTTTTTTTCATTCTTATATGTTGGTAAGTTGCGCATTTTTTGCTTTAAAAATGATTGAATTATGTTGTTCTTATCTTCCGCTTAAGGTTTCTATGCCTTTAGTTAATCTGCATGCCATATTTGTAGAATTATCAACAACTTAAAAGTTGTTTAAGTGCAGGTAACTCTATTTTTTTACTATAGCAGCCATATTTGTTTACATTTGAAACTTAGCAGAATAGTGAATTACGTCTTTCTGCACTTTTAGTGTCTTTTTGCTTTTTTGCCGAGTGGGAACAAAAAAGAAAGTTTTAGTTTTATCCACCGAAATATCTACCTACTAGCTAAATTGCTTGTTTTTGTGTAGAAGCTCTAATTTTAATTGTAAACACTTTTTTAAATTGTTTTAAATGTATTTCGTGTTTTATTACTTTATGTTTTTCTATATCTTCCAGTTTTAAAGGAAAATGTTTTGAGTTTTTATGTATTTTTGCATTGCCGCGAAGTGGGAACTGAATTAATTGAATGAGAAATACATCTTTAATGAAATTCGAGGAAATAAATTTAAATGAAATGTAGGAAAAAGTGTGTATAATTTATTATTCCTTACAAAGAAGTGATGTGGTGTACACATCAGCCTTTTTCATTTAAATGAATTGTAAAGAAGATATGACACAATTTTGGAAGTATCAAATAAAATCCCTTGTGAAGCTGAAAATGAAATTTTTAAATTATGAGAGATAAATAATGTGCTTGTAGCTAAAAAATAAGAAGATTGGAATTTAATATTTCAGAGATATATTTAATAAAATTTCGAAGATTATGTAAAATTCTTGTGAAAATCCACCATTTATATGACATTCTTGTGCGAAGGTCTTCTACAGGAAAGGCCTGAATTCCTCTTAGCATGGAGTGCGAAATATAAGACATGAAAGCTAATTAAATTTCATTAGATGAAATTCAGCAGAATTCATTTGAAAGTACTGAAGCATGTGAATGAAAATACAAGTTATGTGAAAATAATTCGTTCATCGCGCTTGGGAGTTCGTTGCGTTGAGACATTAATTAGACGTAGATTTTTATGAAATTAATATTACTGGATCTTAATCAAGCTTCAGTTAAGTAATCAGAAGAAATATGCAAGAATCAATAAACATACCGTTCGAGAAGGGGTAAGAGATCTGGTTAACATATTAAAGCAACGTATGTGTATGCTTCGCAACAGATCCAGGAAATCTTTTCAGTGTTGAAAGACTGAACAAACTACTTATAAACTTCGACTGGATTTATAAACTTCGATGGAACTGAAAGTAGCAAACTGATTCACCGATAGATTCATGATGTGCTGTATTGCTACAAGGAAAAGCACAAAAGAAAGTACTGGGGGGAGGGGGCAAGGGGAGGAGACAATGATCGTATATCACAGAAAACGAGTAAGCTGCATAAGGATAAACGGAATTTTGGTATAAAGGTAAATAAATCTACATTTTAAAACGAATTGGATATGCATTATGCTTTTCATAAAGATTTCTAAAAACATAGCGAAATATACATATTTAATTAGTATCTTTCCTTACCTCTTCTCCTTCTTCCATATGAAAGTCTTTTCTAGAATTTGGCCCACCCACGAAAAATGTTTTCAGCTGACCATCTTTATACCTGTGGAAATTAAAACATAAATTGATCTTTTGCTACTTATACTACATTTATGTAGTATAAGTAGAATATGTAACTAATAACATAAGTAGTATAAATAAGCTTCATATTAAGCATACATATTAAGTAACTCATATTACCTACATATTGTGACGTCGTGGATGCTTCAGTGGGAACGGAATCAACACTGATAGTGGAGATGCATCACTTTTTAATAACACAACATATCACAGATACAACATTAATACATTTAGAAAACTTTAGTAGATATCCGAGCTGGTGACACAATCAGAGACATTAACGAAGATGGTACTCGTCATCACTCGACAAACAAAGTCTCACACATCAGCTCGCTGGCGGAGCTTCCCAAACTCTCTCTCTCACTGACAGGCGTCCGAAATCATCTAGAAATCTCATCTCTTACGCATGCGTAATTCTCAGTTAAGTCGTTGTCATTCACAAATCTTTAAAATAGGTGTTAAAATGAATTATAGTCCTCGTAGTGTGAGGAGTCTCTCTATTCGAGAGCATCATAGGTCTTTCTAGTAGAGTTCAGGAGCGTTCTTTACAGACTAACTCCTTCCGCCTCCAGATTTTGTTTTCCTCGGACACAGAGGAAACAAAACTTTTTTTTAAGTTCCTACGGGATAAAATACAAGTTCAGGCAGGCGTTCACTACTAACAAACACCTTCCGCCTCCAGTTTTTGTACAGTTTATGGTTTCAATACAGATTGTTTTGGCCTCCTCGGTGATTGCGGTGATTTGTGCCCAGAGGGCGCACCGCACAAAAAGTTAGTTGCGTTACAGAACGTAAGGGAAGCGGACACGCCAAAATGTCGGGCGTATTACCGCTAATTGAGGTAATTGCATCGTATCTGTCAGGTGGCAGAAAACTAATATGATGTATCAATTCACATGCCAGGTGGCAGAATATGTCTATCATGTACATGCCAGGAGGCATAACGCTTGTAAACATGCCAGGTGGCATACGACTTGTAAACATGCCAGGTGGCATACGACTTGTAAATAAATTGTAAATAAATGTACAGTAAAATATCTTGGTGCAATAGATCAAGGAACAAGCATCAACAACCTTCTGATCATTTGGATACGTACATTTTTTCTGGTGACCCGGACGTTGATTTGTGGAGATGAAGAATGGACGAAGAAAATTAGTGAGTTCATGACTGAAAAGCCAGGATTTAACGCGAAGAAATTCGAGGTAGGCCCTTTTTCATTTTTCCAGTTTTGAATAGAATTGTTGAATAAAAATCTTGGTGATTATTATAGTTGATAGAATCTAATGGTAAAATGGAGGCTATGAATAAGGCAAAGAAGTTGCGTACGGTGACGCGTAACTTAACTACCAAGTTGATGAGTAAAATAGATTCTGCATTGTTAGAAGAGGGTGAAACCGCGGATGAGAAATTAAAAGAATTACTCGAAATGTTACTTGAAAAATCGCAGTTGTTGAAACAATACGATTCTGAGATTGAAAAACTTATAATTACGGAACAGGAGTTGGAAACAGAAGTAATTTCCGCGCAGGAATATCAGGAAAGAATTATAAGTTTTAAATGTAAAATTCAGGAAAAATTAAGAAAAAACGCGTGTAAAGTTGAATCTAGAAATTCTAGTGAGGAAACTATATCTCCGAAGTTGAAAACTTGTGAAGTTAATACTTTAAAATTGCCAAAATTAACGATTACAAAATATTACGGTGATCCTTGTTCTTGGCTTGAATTCTGGAATCAGTTTAGTAATTCCATTCACCAAAACGAAAGTCTCAGTTCGGTTGACAAGTTTTGTTATTTAAAATCGCTTTTGGGAGGTTTAGCTTTAAATGCTATTAGTGGATTAACATTTACTAGTGAAAACTATACGGTGGCTGTTGATATACTAAAAAACCGTTTCGGCAGAGATGACCTGCTAATTAATGCGCATATGAATAAATTGTTGAGTTTAGAACCTGTAAAATATTCCGGAAATACGGCTTCTTTGAGGAAGCTTTATGACGATATAGAAATACAAATAAGGAATTTAAATTCTTTAAATGTTACTAGTGGTTCTTATGGACATTTATTATCCCCTATTTTGTTAAAGTTAATACCCGAGAATTTAACTCTAGAATTCACTAGGAAAAGAAGTGATAAACAAAATTTCGATGTTAATGAACTACTAACGTTCTTGAAAACGGAAGTGGAATGTAGGGAAACATCAATGATGTTAGCGCGTTCTAAGAATTTTGATGTAAATGAAACATCAATACGAAACAAAAGTTCCCATCAAGGTTATCAAAATAAATCTTACATGCATTCTAAAAGAAATGATTACAGTACGAATAAGCAAGGTGCTTCGGTATTAACTAGTCAAAGCGAAACTCCCTCTAAATACTTTCAAAAATCACATTTTAATCCAAATCGAAAGTTCTCTACCCCGCCTAAGAAAGAGAATCAAAATGTCTGCATATTTTGTTTATCTGCTTGTCATATGAATCATGATTGCGCACTTGATTTAAAGGCTCGCCGAAAGGCATTAATGGATCGAGGTTTATGTTTTATTTGCTTTTCGAAAGGGCATCCAAGGCGTTTCTGTGCTCATAAAGATGAAAAATGCAGACTGTGCAATGTCCAAGGTTTACATAATTCGTTAATATGTGACGCCGCATCGAAAGATTTAGAGACGGATACTTCCAATCAGACAAAACAAACGCCAATCCCTGAAGCTTCTCTTTCGCTCTTATGTAATGAAAATAATAACAAAATTAAACCACCGACTTCCGTTCTTTTACAGACGTTTTCGGCAACAGTTAGGTGTAAAGGGGGGAACGAAAAGGTATTACGTTGTATGCTAGATTCAGGGTCAACAAAGTCATTCATCTTACGAGAAGTGGTTGATTCACTGGGGTTGAAAATTATTAATAAAGAAGCGCTTATTATTTTCACATTTGGATGCAAAGATGCAAAAGAGCGCTTGTATGATATCGTAGAAATCGTATTGCAAAATGTAAGCCATCCCAGTAAAAAGATAAAAATTAACGCAATAGTCATTGATTCTATAACACTAGGGCAAGTAAAAGTTCCTTCTCGGTGGATACGAAAGATGGCGTTTGAGAAGGGAATAGAATTAGCAGATGCTGGTACGAGTGACGAAATTCAAGTATTAATAGGTTCGGATTATATTTGGGAAATTTTAGGAGAACGAAACGTGAAGATTTGTAAAAAATTAGTCGCAACAGAAAGCACTTTCGGTTTTGTGATTCAAGGCAAGGACGAAGGATCAAAGTGTAAGGACGCAAGAGTTAATCATATAACCGTTGTAAATGAGGACTTAGATTATGAAAGAGTTAAAAAATTATGGGAATTAGAAGCAATTGGGATAAGTTCGGATAAAGAAATATCTCTATCAGATAAAGAAATTTTAGAGTCATTTGAACGAAATACAACTTACAAGAATAAAAGGTATGAAACTCGATTATTGTGGAAAGAGGGTGTTGAAGGTTTAAATAACAATTATGAAATCGCGAAACAGCGTTTACAATTTTTAAATAATAAGTTTCAGAAAAATAGCGAGCTATATTTAAAATATAATGAGATAATTAATGAACACTTGAGAGATGGTATAGTGGAACGGGTAGATACGTATTTAAATAGTAGTTTGAAAACGGGGTATTACATGCCTCATCACGCGGTAGTGCGCGAGCAGAAGGATTCTACAAAGGTTCGAATAGTTTTTGACGCTTCTTCTAAAAGTAAGGGAAATTTATCACTTAATGATTGTTTGGAAAGCGGACCTAATTTAAATCCTGATTTGCTAAAGATTATCATTAAATTCAGGGTACATTCAATTGCGTTTTGTGCCGACATTCAGCGTGCATTTTTAGAGGTAGGCTTAGCTAAAGAAGATAGGGATTTTTTAAAGTTTTTGTGGATAAATGAAGAAGGGTCAAATCTCGATCACAGTAATTCCCAACTTACAAGTTCTTCCAACACAATCGAGTTCCTTTCGGGGTCAAGTGCTCACCTTATTTATTAACAGCTACAGTAAGACTGCATTTAAAAAAGTATGAAGATGCCTACGAAGAGGCATGCAGTATGTTAAAAGAGCTTTACGTAGATGATTTAATTTCTGGGACAGTTAATGTAGCAAAGGCCTTACATTTAAGCAAGGACATGATTTTCATTCTTAGCGAGGCCAGTATGAATTTACGTAGATGGGTTTCAAACTCACCTGAGCTGAATGAACTATGGAAACTTAATGGAATTGACTCTCGTGAAACATCTGAAGACTCTTTGGTACCGTTGAAAGTTTTAGGTCTTATCTGGGACAATGTCAATGATAATTTGAAAATAGATGTATCTCAGTTTGAGAAGTTACAAAATCTCAAAGTAACTAAACGCATCATTTTAGCAGCATGTGGTATGCTCTTTGATCCCTTAGGAATTATGAATCCATTTACTGTTCGAATTAAACTCTTAATGCAAACTATGTGGGAAAAGGGTATTCAATGGGACGAAAGTGTTCCCCTTGATACAGAATTCATATTTCAGGAATGGTTAAAAGAAGTTGAAAAAATAAAGTTTTTCGAAATTCCCAGACAGTACTTCAGTGATATGTGTTGGAAGTTTATAGAAGTTCACATATTTTCTGATGCCAGTCCCAAGTGTTATGGTGCCGTAGCATATTTTAGATTTAAGAAGAAAAATAAATGTAAAACAAGTTTCATAGTGTCGAAATCCCGTTTGGCTCCATTAAAAAGGGTAACACTCCCTAGGCTTGAACTTTTGGGAACATTAATTTCTGCAAGATTAGGTTCGTATTTGCAATCGATATTTCCGCAGTTGGATAAGGGAAATATATTTTACTGGACTGATTCCCAAATTTGCATTCACTGGATCAAGGGATCTGCCAACGAGTGGAAACAATTTGTTAGAAATCGTGTGGTAGAAATCAAGGAGAAAACAATTTTAAACAACTGGTACTTTTGCAGTGGGAAGAC